GTTCCGTACCGCCAGCCGGAGAGCGTGTTGAGCTCTCCATTACCCGTACTCCGAAGCAGTCGTGTTGAGACTGTCGAGGAGTGTCCTATTAACCCGAATCACTTGAGGGACGTGTTGAGTTTCTTTCTTTCCTTTGTACCTATCGTCCGCTGTTATTAAATCGACACATCGTTCACGTAAAATTCCGAAAACACACTTGATTGCCGATAACACTAATTTCATACGACAAGGTCAAACTTAATTTGAATAAATAGGCCAGGTACTGAGAAGACTAAACTAAATTGTAAATATGTACATAAGATTTTTGTCAATTTAATTTAAGGAAGACAATAAAGTTTTATTTTTATTTTGAACTCTGTCTCTGACTGTCCAAAAGCTACCCGGATAGTGACTCCTACGAGAGGACGTCACAACATGGTTTTTAAAAATAAAAGATTGATTATTTAGAAGTATATTTTGATTTAGAGAAAGGTTGTGTCTTGTAAAGACAGATACTGCTGACTTGGCAATTGATAAATTTAAGCCGTTCTCTAAGTACCATGGGAAAAGAGAACTACATACTCTGCTTAGGTTTTGCATACCGTTTTCATATTTCTTACTTTCTGTAGAGACACACAAGTCATCTGCATATTGTATTATTTTAAATGGGATGTTGTTTATTTGCATATTATGTATGTCAGAGGTGTACATATTAAATAAAATTGGCGATAATACCGAGCCTTGTGGTATGCCGTGATAGTTGTGTCTAGGTCCTTCTATTATCTATTAGTTTGTTATTATGGTCTCTGACGTAGATTACCCTGTCTATATAGAAACCGATAATTGTGTTAACGAAAGCAATTGGCAAATGAAAGAAATATACCATTTTGAATTTCAATATTGACAAACATTTCATATGCTCCTTCAATATCCAAGAATAGGGCTGTTAAATAGTTATTCCTAGTTAAATTGTTCTTTACATCAACAACAAGTGTTGTTAAAGCGTCTAGAAATCCAAAACCTCTTTTGTAGCCAAACTGGTAGTAAATTCTTTTTTTGTATCCACCAATCTAATCTAAATTTTATAAGCCTTTCTAGGGTTTTGAATACGCATGAGAGTAAGGATATTGGTCTATATGAACTCACAACATTTGGATCCTTTCCGGGTTTAAGGATAGGAACGACTAAGATATTTTTGAAGGACTCGGTAACTATGTTATTTTGATATCATTGAAGATATGTAAAAAAAGGTTTTTTGCAACCGTTGGTAGTAGTTGATTAACATGGGGTATTTTACATGATCGATTCCAGGAGAAGTATTAATGTGGTTTTTAAGAGCGAAGTCTAATTCAGTTTTAGTAAAAGGTTTTAATAGAAAGTGATTATTTGAATGATGACTTTGTGTAGGCTGTGTAGGCGAATGCTGAACCCATGGAGGAAATATTCTATTAAAGAAGTCTTCTAATAAAGTATCATTGAAGGGTTTTGTACTACTATGTGATTTTCGGTTCATTTTGTTAGCTTGTGACCATATTTCTTTAGAACAAGTATTTTTGCTTAAATTAGAACACCATTTGATCCAACTAGCTTTTAGCTTTTTGTTTCAGCTGCTTTTTAGTATGAGCAGTAATTTTCTGACATTTTAGATAATTATCAAGGCTTGGTGAATGTTTATTAACTGCTAATGCTTCTTTTCTGTTATTAATTATCAGATCACATTCTGGGTCCCACCATGGCGGAGGGGATCGATTTTTGGATTCAAAAATTTTATATTGAGGAATAGATTTAATAGCAGCATGATTAATGCAATCTATTAGAAAGTTATAATTTTCATAAGTATTAAGGGAGTTACTTTTATTAGAAAACATGTTTTCAATTAAGGATGTATACAGAGCCCAATTGGCCTTTTTGATGTTCCATTTGCTTTTTGGATAAATTGTTTCCTGCGATGTGTAGGTTATTGAAAAATTCATAGTTATTGCAAAATGATTGGAGCCTAAGGTGTTAGATAAAACTGACCAGGTGATTTTACTAGCTATATTAGGTGTGCAGAGGGAAATGTCAATCATCGATTTTTGAGGACCATACCTAAGAAGATAGGTAGGTTCACCATTATTCAAAATTACAAGATCTAGATTCTCAATACTACTAACAATTTGGTGACCAACTGCATTATTTTGTAATGAACCCCATAGTAAGTTATGGGCATTCATATCTTCTCCAATTATAAAAGGTGATTTGACTTGTGAGAAGATATTTATCCAATCATTTTTGGAAGTACGAATTTTAGGTGGTCTATATATAGATAGAAAACTTAATTCTGTTTTATTAATTTTAACGGTAGCACCGCAGACTAAAATTTCATCGTTAAAATTATTGTTTCTAATATTTATTTGACAAAATGGTATGGTTGTTTTAATTAAGATTGCAACACCTGCGTACCCGTCATACCTATCTTGGCGAATTACATTGTAACGTAACCCTTAAATATATAATTCTGATTTGGTTTGAACCAAGTTCCGCTTAATAAGGCAATGTCAATATTTTTAGTTGTTAAAAAATGAACTAAGTTGTTTTTATTCGAAACACCGGATCGAGCGTTCCATTGCAAAATTTTTAATGATTTAAGTTCTGTGAAGATGTTATTTATTGATAATATCCTCCAAAATCGTTTTTATTCCATGGTAAATACTATCTTGACTTATTGTTTTTATATCATCTACAGTTTGAATATTTGTGATTAAATTAAAAATGTAATTGGAAATAAGTGTTTCTAGAACTGTCTGATCTGTTTTATTTTGACAATTAGGGATGTTTAAATTAGCAGGAAGGGGTCTAGAGGGCCCACAATTAAAAGGAAACATAGGTGCATTATGGGGGGACTGGGGGGTAGGAGAGAATAATTTTCGTTTTTTCGATATGTTATAGTGACTTGAGGAGGGTTGTGATGTGTTATTTGATGCTATGTTTTGGTTTCTACGCGGGATTACTTGTGTGGCAGCAGAAGGGGTTGAATTTTTTGTGAATGTTGGCAGGGGAGGAAAACTGTTTCCGATATTTTCTAGTGTGGAATATCTATTCTAAGTGAACAATCCTGAGAAGTATGATTCACAATAAGTTTTTGCCTCGATGAAAGAAGTTTTTTGCTCAATCATTACGTTTTTGATCTTCTTCTGCAGTTTCCTATTTTGGACATTTCTTGGAAATGGATACATGATCCTTACTATCGCAATGGATGCACTGAATATCATTATCCTGGCACGCATGACCTTCATTTTTGGTTTTTTCCGCATTTTATGCAATGTGCCTGTGTACTCCGACACTGCTTAGAAATATGTCCAAATCTCAAACAATTATAACACTGAGTGACCTTGCCAATATAGGTTTCTACAGGAAAAAATACACTATTTATTGCAATGTAGCTAGGTAAAATATTTCCCTCAAAGGTGACTATTACACTCCTTTTCGGTAGATAGTTAGTTTTTCCTTCCGTATCAACCCTTCTAAAAGTTCGTTTATAACCTACTATGGGGGAGGGAGATTCACTGTTATCTAATAAATAATGTTCATCGTACTGTGTATTAACATTTTTGATTAGACTTTTAATTTCTAGTAGATGATTAGGAATATAAGCTACCAAATTTTAAATTTTTAATCAAATTATTTGCATCATTAATTGACCTTAACAAAACTTTAATTCTGTTTTTTTCCAATGCCTTTAATTTCAATAATATTAGGAATATTCAATTTTTTATGCAATATATGCGCGACCGTTAAATGATGTAAACGACCTATATTTTCATTGTTTGTTTTTTCTATGTGAACATAAACATTATTAAAATTGTACTTATCTGATTTTGACGTTGAAAAATTTTATCGCTACTGTTTTTTGCGCTCTTTCAGGTTCTGGCAAGATTGTAGTACAGTCACTGGTTTTCTTCGCATTTTTCGCAGTCGAATCATCAACATTTTCGATTAAACTGGATTCATTCATAGGCATTTCACTATTCTCACTAATACATGAAAAGTTTAAATCACCTATTGGCGTCTCTGGGGAAATTGCCTCCTCCATGGGGGAGTCACTTATAGACTTATTTATGACACTGAGTTAATGCCAACTTCGAATCACCTGTACTAATTTAAAATCGAGTTAATTAGTAGAAAAAGACACTGTGCGCTTATTATTTTCGACCTATCGCTTCGGAAGTTCGAATAATACTGGTAAATATATGAGAATTTTCTTTTTCTTTCGGTGTCATATTAGATTCTTATAATATTGGCAATTTATATTGTAAAACTGTTTAGGGCCTTTAGTTAATAGTTGTTCTGCACTGCGTATTCCTATCCAATTATGTTCTTGAGCTATGACATCTGCTTCCCTTCGATTCCTCCGGGGCCCTTGATTTTACTTTTCAATATAAGCTGAAGGATTCTGTACTGGTCTCCTCCAAGTACAAGCTCTAGGCATGCAATTCTTCTTATTTTAATAGTTTTCAATAACTCACGAACGTCAATTCATTTATTTAACACAGTTGAGTTGGTTTACGTCACTGCTCAAGGTATTCGGAGAATTATTCTTCTATACAACCACATCTCAAAAGACTCTTGGTTATTGAACGTATCAGCCCTTACAAACTAGGTCTTGGTGGCTTAAAAATATAGTGAGAAAGATATAAGCCTTCAAGATATGGCTTTACGAAGGTTAGATAAAAATACCAATGAAGAGTACTTACGAATTTTTCAAAATAAATAGAACTAAATGATGAAACATAGTTACGAAAACCACAATACCTTGTAAAAATCAGAAAGAGAAAATAACAGCTGTATTTTACCACACAAAAACTATTTTTGGAAAATGTCTGTGCTATTTTAGAGAATAATTGATCATCCAACCAATTTTCCTATCTACCTTAAGAATAATATATCAGTATTTATTTGTATTTTTTTAAACTAGTACAAGTTATAAAAAAAGTAAGTTTTAAAGTTTGTTCATCTCATATTTCCTTATAATAAATTCTTACCTCTTGAAGTTGCTAAACTTTGAGAGTTGTCCGTGTCCGATTGTACGTTTACTCCTTTGTTTTGCGATCTGGTATTACATTTTTTAGTTGACATAATTATTTAAAATAATACCTTTACCATATACACCTTTAAACGTATTTCATATTATTCTTTTTTGTATAAAATTATCTGTAAAATATAGATATAAATATACAATATATTGTATACGACAATTCGTCAAATAACGAAACTGTCACAATGAACGCCAAATTATCTTTCTTTCTTTTATTTATTTGCTTGGCCTTAGCTGCCAGGGCTATCCGGCCAGGATCTGTATATTTATACTGAATGTTTAAGACCCGTACCTAAGGTACATCTGGGATTACGTTCATAGCTCCCAAACCTACAACAATAATTAAAGGAGCAAAAAAACAAATTAAATTCAAATGTTCAAAAGTTCTTTCACATAAGTTCCAAAGTTCTAGTCCTATATTACTGCACCAAACCGCACTAAACACATGCAATCCAAGCAAGCAGATTAAATCTTAAAATGTACATTAACTAACTACACTTTAGACCTTGTTGACGCTAAAAACTTTTGCACTGCAAGCAGTATCTTTGAGTTTAATTTTTTGAACAACACATCAGTGAATGTTGGAACACTTTGAAATTCACTTCTAAGTAACTGGGATTCCCTTTAATATCTAGTACATTCCAATAACACATGATGTAAGATGCCTAATCTGCCACATGGACACAGATTTGTATTGATCACTTTCAATCTTAATAAATGAACCGGAACGGAACAATGTCCACTTCTCATACGATACATTTGTGCTATTATGCCCCTTCCCAGGTTAGGAAACCTTGTAAACTAGGCCTTTTTATATGGAACCGTAACATTTGTTCAATATGTAATTCCTTTTACCAGTCCTATTTATTGGAACCGATTTTTTCAACTGATTCATAGGTTTTCTTTATATTTAGTTTGAAAATCTTTAAAGGAAGCCTGTGGTTCTTTAGTAACAGGTAGCTTTCTTCCAAGTTTAGCAAGATAATCAGCTCTATTATTCCCCACTATCCCGATGTGACTTGGAATACAAGCAAATTTAATTTCTTTATTTTGTTCATGGAGTTGACTAAGTTTTTGTTTTAATTGAAGAGTTTGTGTGTCTGCTGCATCCTTATAACTTGATCTTGTAATTTTCTCTTGCACTTTTTGAATCACAACAAAGAGGGCTTTTTTCAAAATTATTCTGTTAAATTAAATCTAATGCCTTTTTTAATCGCAAATAATTCTGCTGAACAAATTGAATAGCGGATGGTAATCTTGCTCGTATGATGATCTAGATCATGGCCTTCTGGTACATCCTGCTAGATGACTAACGAGGCTCTGACTTCCGAGTGTTTGCCGGGATAAGCAATCAACCATTTACTGACCAACGGCTTAGGGCGGATGAACTAGTAAGTGGAAGGACATTCTGTTGTCAGTCATCTCTTGAGACAGAGAAATTGGTCTCGAAGGCGGAAGAACCAAGAAAGTGGTCAACGGCATCAGAATGCAGAAGTCAACGAGAAACCACTGCATTAAAGGTCCCTGATGAGGTATCTAGTATAAATTATAATGGTTAGCACTATTTGCACAAGAAACATTATTGATTATGGTAATCGGAGACCAAAATCCGGCAGGGGAGGACAACCATCAGAACGCAAGGCCTCCTCGGTCGTCAACATGCGAGACCCTTGCACGAAATACCACAACAAAATACTCAACCCTCTCAGATAAAAATAGCTACCTGGAATGTAAGAAGTATGTATCAGTCTGGAAAACTACACAATTATATTAAAGAGAACGAGAGACTAAATATAGATATACTTGGGGTTAGCGATGTACAGTGGTCAGGAAATGGAGAGATATCAATAAATAACCACAATATTTATTACACTGGAGGAGACAAAACTGATCCTCGATACGGAGTAGCTTTCATCATAAGCAACACTATTAAAAAATCAGTGCTAGCTGTGATTCAAATCTCAGAAAGAATAATAATGCTAAAAATTCAAGCATGGAACTGCTTGATACTGCAGATAAGACCGAAGATGAGATCGAAAACTTTTATTCAGAATTGCACAATACAATCAAGTTAACAAAATCTAGAGATATTACTTACATTTTAGGAGATTTTAATGCAAAAATTGGAGTAGGTACAGTTGAAAATATAGTTGGACAGTTCTGACTAGGAACTAGTAACGAGAGAGGAGAAAGGCTCATAGAATTCTGCCAAGAAAAGAATATGGTAATTGCCAATACTTGGTTTCAGCTTCCTAAAAGAAGACTATATACATGGACGTCTCCTTCACATACAGAAAACCACATTGTCAGAAGCCAGATAGACTTTATACTCGTAAATAGCAGATATAAAAACTCTATAACCTCAGTTAAAACTTGGAGCAGATGTTAACTCAGACCACAATCCGTTAGTGGGTGACGTGAAAATAAAATTAAAAAAAATTGAACTCAGAAGAAAACAACAACCAAAAATTAACGTAAGAATGCTACAAAACGAAGAAATAAAAAACGAATTAAAAAATAATGTGAATATTAATATGCAAAAAATACTAACTGACAACAAACAAATTATGGATCTAAATAAAAAGTGGTGTAATATAAAAAACACATTACTGAAACCAGCTCAAGAAAGTTTAATAGAACATAAATCAGAGGCTAAAAAACACTGAATGACAGAAAAAATACTAGTACTGATGGAAGAAAGAAGGAAATATAAAGAAAAAGATCTACAAAAGTATAAAGAAATACAAAGAATAATTAAGGAAAAAATCAAAACAGGCTAAGGAAATCTATTTGATGAAGCAATGTAAAGAGATAGAAGAACTAGAAACAAAATATGATATGAGAAATATGCACAAAAAATTAGAGAAGTGACTGGAATGGGTCGAAATAGACAGCAAGGACACATAAAAGACAAAAACGGAGTACTACTAGTAGATTTACCAGAGAAGTTAAGACGATAGGAGGAGTACGTTAGAGAACTTTTCCAAGATGAAAGAGGTGAAATGCAGAAAATACAAAAATTAAATCCTTTAGAGAGACAGAAGATCACGATAGATGAAATCAAATATGCTATCAAAAACTCTAAAGACAATAAGGCAGCTGGATTAGATGAAATACCAGTAGAACTGTTAAAACTAGTGGAAGGGGATAATTTGGAAGTATTGGCAGGTTTATTCAACACGGTGTACGATACGGGAATAATACCACAAGAGTGGCTGAAAGTAGATAGATAGGGTTCCTTCTGGAGCGGAAGTGACGTCACACGTCGATCGTCAAGCGTACGTATCCTCATGGGCCAAGGCCACGCCCCCCTCGTGACGTAGGAACGTGCCTAGGGTCTCGAGGCC